AGACATATTAAACAAAAAGGTATTTTCACACAAAAATAGTTTTTAAGAAAATAATATTTTTTTGAAGTGCTAAACTTGACACTTAGAGGTCTAAGAGTACAAATTGAACTATGGAGGAAGGTGAGCTACGAAGAGCCACTTAATAATGAAGCCTCTTCAAGTAAAAATCTCTAAATTCCCTTGTACTTTGCCTTGCAAAAAAAATGTTTTCACAAATTTCTTTTTCCAAGAGGAAAATAACAAGCAAGTGCCTAATGTGTATAATTAAGCAATGCAATCAAGACTTGAAAACATAAATTGCTTGGAAACATAAATTGCATGAAAACATAAATTTCTTAAAACTTAAATTGCTTAAAAACATAAATTGCATGAAAACTTAAAGACAAGAAAACATAAACTAGGCGTATGAAGCTATAAACCTAGGTGAGAGCTTGGAAAGTACCAAAGACTTCCAAGGACCACTCTCACATGTACTACATGAATTACCCTAATATGAAAACACTAAGGAGAGATGAAAATGCACCAAAAGCACTCCAAGACACTCCTAAAGGCCTTGTACAACAAATGAAATGAAAATTTACAAGAAATGAAATGTAAATTTACACCAAATGAAATGTAAATTTACACCAAATGAAATGTAAATTCACACTAAATGAAATGTAGTGGCTGCACCAAATTCTTAGAAAACAAAATTCAGCAACTAAATTAGTGACAAATTTAGAGACGTATTTAGCTAGGAAAAATTTTGAGACAAAAAATTTCCGTCTCTAAACTAGTCTCTAGTTTTCACAAAATTGGATTACTCCTTCAAGTCCCAAGTCAGCCACCACTCCTTGCAGTCCTCACAAGTGTATCACTCCTCTATTAGAAGTAACCTTGATGTTGGTTACTCCTAGGTGTTTAATCTCCCAAAGCCTTCCTCCAATGGAGAACAAGCTTCCTAGGCCACCACAAAACCTTCCAAATTTGGCTTCCTTTATTGCTTGGCCTTCCACACCTTCAAGAAGCACTCAACACACCTTAAGTTGCTGGAATATATGGTAAAACCTGAAAAGGAACAATTAGGAGAAGCTACACCAATTGGTGGAAATTAGTGAGACAAAACTAGGAAGAATTCTAAATAAAGACAAGCAAAAATTAGGGCACCAAAGAACGGCTAGCACACAAAGGGAAACCTATCAATGGCACTAGAGTAGATTACAAAATAAAATCTAAGATTATAAAATGAAAAACTCAAAGTAAACAACAATGTAGTGGCTGGTCAGAAAATTTAAGGCAAACAACACACAAATCCAAGAGCAACAACTTCACTAATTTTCACTCCTTTTGGCTTTTTCTTTGTTCTTTCTTTTGTTTTTCTTTTGATGTTTTCTTTCAAATCTTTTGCTTGTAATCTCAGGAGTTCAATGCCTTTTTAATGCAAGTATATGTCTCGATTTTAATTTCTTAAAACTGCTGCCAAAGTTATCACAAAACAAGAGGTATAATAGGAAATTGTTTTTCTAGTGCTTCACAATTTTTGTACAATTTTTTAGGTCAATTTTCAAGCACTCTTTTCTTTTGTTTTTCCAATGTTTTTATAACACTAATACCTCTATTTTGCCTCTATTTTTATGCTTTAAAAGGTGATACAAGTTTCAGCCACAAAACAAAACTCAAGGAAACCTAATAGGAATAGTGTCTAATAATTTTCTTTTGACAAACTTTTAACAAGACATAAAGGAAACCTAACTCTAGGAAATTTGCTAGAACTAATAGCAAATTAAGAACTCAATCATGTAAAGTAAAAGCACATATAGGTTGGCACAAGATTAACAAATCAAATCGCACCAAATATTGACACAAAAACCAAAGGTTCAACAAGCTAGTCTAGGATTCAATGACATGTAAAGGACTACACATGACTCTAGACAAAACATATGATTCAAAAACAAAATTCATGCTAAACAATATCAATGTACAATCACAGACTCAAGTTATAGGAATAGAGAAGACTCAAACAAAAAAAAAAAGCACAAGCACAAAGAAACCTAGGTTAGAACCGGATTGATTCAAGAACAAAGGAACAAACAAAACCAATGAATCAATCAACTTATGAGACATTTGGATCCATCAATAATATGTAGAAAATCTAGATCCATTCAGCAAACACAAGAAGACATGTAAAAGAATGAAGATACAACACGGATTTAATGAAAGGAAAAAAGACACATAACCTTAAGAGCACCAAGGCTCTAGATACCAAAAATGATGGAAGTAAGTAGAAGTGGTTGATGTTCTTCTTCACTCTCCACCTTCAATCCCTTTCTTCTCTTGAGGTTGACACGCTAATGAAGAGAGAAACACTTTGAAGAAGCTTCAATGGTGGAGAAGCAACAAGGAGGTTCGGTAGCTTCTTCAAGAAGCTAGAAGATTACCAAGGCACAAAGGTTGGAAACCTTTGTGAAGGAACCTAGGGGAGAAAGTTATCCACTAAATTCTAAGGTTTTGGAAGAGATAATTTGAGAGAAATTATGATTATTATTCACCCAAAGTGAGGGAAAAGGTTAGAGTTATAAATATATAAAAGGAGGTAGCAACCTTAACCATGGTTCAAGTGAACCATGGTTTGGTTGCTTGACCGTCCAAGCTAGTTAGGAGGTTTGTGGAGCAAGCTTCTCACTTAGATTGCTTGGGAAGCAAGTTAAGGAGAAGCTTGTAGCACAAGCTTCCCAAGCTTGAAGGCAAAGAAAAGCAATTCAGCCATGTGAGGAACCAAGGCAAGCTAGGCGGCCATTTGACTATTTTACTCACTAATCCGTTTCCAAAAATGTTTGATTTGGTTTAGTCAGGTCCATCCAAAAATGATGAGACCTAACTAAATCAAATCCATGAAAAATTAGGAGCAAAATGAGTCTAATATGTAAAATTTTGCCTGGGCCCAATTCTGACCCAATTACTAGTCACACCTTCAAGCATTGCTAATTGTTGTTGAGCTTAGGAGAGGTTGAATCTTAAAGGAGTTTTGATGATCACAACAAGTATACAAAAACAACTTGGAGCACAAAAATAAAGTTAAAGAAGATTCAAGAAAATGCTATGAAATGAAGCTATGTAATAGAACTTAGGAAATAAATTGTTTTGAATGTGTTTTTATATTTTGTGTGCTTTGTATGCTATGTGCATAAGCAAATCTATATCTAAACCAAGTAGAGAGTATATGATGATGAGTTAAAAACATTGGAAAGTTATTTTGAGTCTTAAAATGAAGTTTTAAGAACTAACTCAAAATAATCGATTATTGTTAAATATAATCGATTATTTCAGCAAATAGGCTAAGTGGAATGCCTTGCTGTAATAATCGATTATTTGCCAAAATAATCGATTATCCCAGGAACAACTCTCTGGAATAATCGATTATCCAGCTAAATAATCGATTATATTGTTCTTGGTTGATTTCCAGAAAATCTGAAGAACAAAATAATCGATTATTCTTTAAAATAATCGATTATCTGTGTCTGAAACTTTTATAAATAGTTTGAACTTTGAGAAACTTCAGACATGAGTTAGAACTGATAATCAATTTGTGAAAAACGTTTTTGTGAGTCTTTGTGACATCTTGGAGAGTTTTCTTTGTGAAATCCAAGAGTGAAAACGTTTGTGAAAAGCTTTGTTAGAAGATCATCATCATCATATTCTTGAAAGGGGAAGATAAAGATTTGTTCAAGAATTCCAAGTGAATTCGTTCCTTTTATTCTTTGTGAATCTTTGTGGAAAATCTTGAGAAGGGTTTCTCAAGT